AGTTCCACAATGCGGCTTAATTTTACCATAATCAGTACCACTAAAGTTCTAACTAACTAAAATCGCTCCTTTCATTCCGGAAGTCACATTAGTCGCGTACGCCAATGACTGCTCCATCGCGGCAATGGTTAACGACCTGCCATCACTCAGTGCTTCATTAAACTCTTACCTCAGATACCTTACCTTTTTTTGTATATATCCCACGCCAAGTCCACAGCCTCAATGTGTAGGACATGAAAACAAATTAAGCTCTTCCTCCACATTGGTCTTACCTCTACAAAGAGGTAGGCTGGGCCACAATACCAAACGAAACCTACACATGAAAATAACAGAGCTGAAATCGTTGGGCGGAAATAAGTCCAGTCGTAGCGGCGACCCATCTATCGAGGAAACGTCTCTTGCTTAGATGCTCCAGAAAGGAAATCAGTTGGTACTTTTTTAATCTTCCGCCAGTGCACGCCTGTGCCGAACAAGTTGACCTTGTTTGGATATTGCGGAAGTTTTGCGACAAAGTTTTCGAAGAAGGATATAACTTTTTACCTCAGGAATGATTTAAAACTGCATACGTTTTCCGAACGTAAGGAAGAGATATATTCGAAAACATGAATCGGTAAGCACCGATTGGAAGAACCCGCCTCAATCCATTCGAAACGCAGTCTCCTCGCCAGAAACGTAATAACAACTTGGTTTCTCATAAAGCAACGGATTGAGTCCCTGGAGTGTATTAGTTATACCTCTAATTTTAAACGTATATACATACTTACATATAAAATGGCGTTGGCATAATCTTTCGCTTAGTCCGAATTTGGAACGACCTCCAGAAGCCGTTTGATACCAAACTAGGTTGCTGACTTTCGTGCGACTTCGTTAGTCTGATGTTCGAAAGCGCAATATGTGGTGCGAATCTGAACTACCTTGGCGAGAGTACAATGTTAATGGCGTACGCAGATAACATTGATATAATTACACTCAAAACCATAGCCGGACAAGGCAAGGCAATAAAGAGACACATCGTATCGGGAAGTGCACCGAAATTGGCAGATAAGTAGATATAACGCGAAGCTTTAAGGACCTTCTGCTTACTATTAAATTAAGGCGCAATTCGCTGTAGCGATAGCCTGGAGATCAAATGAAGAGCAATTCTTGTCAACAGGTGCTACTTTGGGTTCGGTAGGAAATTGCAGAACCTTCTCTAGATGTACAAAAATTAAGCTATATTGTACCGTTAGACAATGTCGATTTGACATGAGAAACCTTTAAGGACATTCGATAATGAAAAAGATGGAATGTTGATATTTTAGAGCTTGGTAACGAAATGTGAGAGCAAAGCGTCTGAAAATACATACTTTGGAAATATTGAGAACAGAAGGAAATTTTATCAATTAGTAGGAATAAATTAAAATTTCCTTCAGGCTAGAACTGAACTAAATTGAATTGGGAAAGGCCGGAAACGCAAAACGCTTTTCCAAGCAAACAGGTATTGTGGCTCATTGAATTTTTGACCTAAGGAAAGGTTAAAGCGGACAAAGTCAAACAGGTCGGCAAGGGAAATAAATACTCCGCTGCAAACTTAATAGACTCCATAAGAAAATGAAGCTAGTCCATACTCAATACATTTAATTAGAAAATGTACCTTTTCGTCCTGGCGAAGGCCGGACAGCTGCAGAGAAAATGCTCCCTACCGGGGACAACATTCAGTTCAGGTAGGGCAACCTCAAGTTCGGGTTTGGCACCCTTAAATTTCGTGTATCTGGTGACAGGCCAAAAACTACAATTTGCATTACTCCATTTCGGCCCCTCTCGACTTGATGAAGCCCGTCATTGAAAACATTTTGCTCTTGGGCGGTAAAGTCGAAGGCAATTCGGAAATGTCGTGAAACGCTGGATGAACGTCAACACCTCTCTCTGTTGGGTTTCTGGACATAGCAATATAGGATAGCTCCCTGCTGCCACTGATTTATTTTCTGCTAATGGGCATAAAAGAATGCACCACAGCCGAAACCAATGACCTTTCGGGAACAGTAAGGTCTCAAGATCCTTGCGGCCGAGACTCAATAAGAGTCGTACTGAGGTACTGCTGACACTAAACAAATCTACAGGTCTATAGTTAGGGCTCTTACCGATATCATATATGGTGCTATATCACCAATGTTCCAACGATGGCGTATACCAACAAGCTCCATTTGCAGAAGTTGTCGGGATGAGGATGACGCTGAATCGATTCACCACTTCCTATGTATGATCATAGATACATAGATCTCCAGATAATGCGTCTCAAGCGTTTGGAATCGCTCTTTTTCAATCGCTTGGGGGAGATAGCGGAGGTGAATATGGAACATCCACGGCTTCATCCGGGTTACTTAGTAAGTAGTTTGATAGACTTTATACCTACTTACACTCACAGAGGGCATTCACAATGGGCAAATCTGCCTCCGAGTGGAAGTACGAGTCATTCGTACGCGCCTTCCTAACCTAACCTACCAGCTGCTTGGCTATTCATGTCCGTTTGTTTGTAAATATGCTCTGTTACCATTACAGGGCAATTCTGGCAAAGATAGTTTCAAGCCTTTGTAAGACTATTAAAAGAGAGTATGCAAGATGGTTTAAACGATTTTTCTAATTTATTAAATTTTTGAATACTTAATTTTTTAACCAATTTTTTTTATTCTTATATATTTTGTTTAAAACACAAACTTTTTTAATTTATCTTAATTTTAAAGAGGTTATTTTTTTGTATAATTTTGTTTTTATTTTAAAAATTTACTTTCTTTTAGTCTTTAAATTTCATTGTTTAAAGAAATATATATATTTTTTTTTTAAATCATGATTTAACGACTTATTTTCTGTTTTTAAATTAATTTTCTCTTAATTTTTAGATTTTATTTTCTAAAATAAAAATGTTTCATTAAATATTTATCTATATGTATATACATATATATATATTTCTAGTTGTAGTTTTTTTTTAATTGTCGTTTCTTTTAATATTTAGGTTTTATTGTTTTAAAAAGAAAAACATTTGTTTCAATATCAATTAATTTTTAAGAACTTATTTTTTTCTTTCTTTTTTAAATAATTTTTTTTAATTCATTTTATTTTTCGTTTTATTTTTAGGTAATTATTGTTTTAAGGGCTGCCTGCCGTTCTCAAGAAAAGTCACTTGAAATATTGTAAATTACTTCTTTTGCTTGAAAAGGTACTTTGCTGTTGCTGTAAATTTTCTTGAAAATAAATATAAGCGCATTTTTGCTTGAGAACTGCATACTGGTTTAAAAAATTTTGATAGAAGGAAATTTCTTTTTCATTTCTTGTGCGTAAATTTTTATGAATTTTTCGATTTTCTTGAGATCCGCAGTCAGGTCATAAAATTATATTTTTCTTAATTTCATTTTACGTATTTATTATTTTTTAAATTCAATTTATTTTATTTTTTTAATTTAATATTATTTTTTTATCTTAAAAAAAATATATATGTATGTATGAAGATACTTTGTTGATTTGATTTTCAGAAAACTGATTGCTAAATGACCAACGCTAAGTCGTTCTCGTTAGCAGATCTTTCAATTAGGCTTTCTAAGTATAGGAAAGAGCTATCAATATTGTTGACAGGATTGGCTATTATCTTACGAAAGACTTTGTGGTGTGAATCGAGAATAGCTCCGCGGGAAAACCTGCGCCTCTTACATCGTTGATCCCGAGTTCAAATCGCGGTGGAGGCAGTTGTGGTCTTCAGATTTAATAAATTTAAATTCTTGAGTGCCGCTTAAAAATTGAAGAGAAATGATTAAATTTAATATATATAAAAAAAATAATAAATAAATAAAAATTAAATAAAATGCAATCTGTAGAAGAAAAGAAAAATATAAAAAAAAATCGAGTTTCTGATAAAAAACTTATTGTCGCAGATCTGTCCAAAATGAAACCGGTTTGGAACTAGTTCAAAAGTTCTGCAGTGGAGATAAATTTCCACTGTGTAGGATATCGTCATGTAAAAAGAGACAGTTGAAAGCATTGCGTTGGGATAGATGGAGAACCAGTACCGCCTTTTAATGAGCTAGTTCTGAACTAGCACGATTTTCTGCAGGGTATGTACATATATCGCGCGCGTGTTCCATCCTCTATGTTGGTCATACACAATGGGGCCAGGCGCCAAGCGCTACACATTTTCAAATTGCCTATAACATTTGGCATTTGTTTGGTATAGCTTTGTATTTGCATTTATCCAAACTCAAGAATCTAGAAAGCGTGGCAGGAAGAGTGCAAAAGCTCACAGGCATTTGGCAAAAGCAAAAGCATTCTTCGATTATCTTCGTTTTTTGCGTGGGACTTTAGTTGTCAGGTGAGCAATGGGAGGGAAGGAAGGTGCGGCTGCTGAGTGGATGATATATTGGGAGCGCCTATAAAACGCTGCGCTCGGGAGAGGCGTTATCTGTGAGTACTCGTACTTATGTACATGTGTATGTACATATGTATGTGTATGTGGCCCCTGCGGATTTGGGTTGATTGAAAATTCCGAAACTCAAAAGCGGCCAAGCTTTTGGCCAAAACGAACGATCCAACAACAATAGCTAATGCGGTATTCATGTGCACACAAGAACAGTGATTAGAAAGCTTTTCTTTTCGCGGCTATGTCAGTGGTATTGCGAAAGCGCTCACTTTTCATTGTAAAGCAGAAAGAATGTATCCACAATTGTGAGCAAGTCGGAGCACAAACCAGGCGTATGTACATGCTGGTGGTTGTTGCTCGCTGTCTTCGTCGCCTATCGCCGCCTATCTGCCACTGCGACTGGAAGTTTGTAATCGCACAGAACGCGCGGTGCCACAGCTGCTCGGGCTGTGCTCCTTGTTGTGCATTCCGCTCGGTATCAGTTTGATTCGCTCTACCATAGCAAAACGGTCGGGTTCAGGTGGTCAGTGGCCCGCTGGGAGTACTACATTTGGTATAGAGTGCTGCTTGGGCAAGATAATTTCCAAAAAAAAAAAAGAATGAAAAAATTATAAATGAGGAAACTAAATATGAAAAATTTATGAAAGAAAATCTGTACTAACCAGCCAGGCAAAAATGTAAATGACCACGATATCTGCAATGTGTATAAGCATGTGTGTGTAATAGTACATAGATAGTAGTTCGACGAAGTGAGTACACAATTTTTTGAAAATTCGAAAAAATCTCAAATGGTGCGAAGAAGCAGCTAAAAATTTTTTGTGAGTGCGAAAATTAAGTATGTATACGAAAAGAAAAAAAAATTACAAAAAATGTATATAGTGTGAAGAAAAAATTTGCGTGTGTATGTGTGTAGCGTGAAAACGACGCTGATTGGCGCGACACGGCGCGAAGTTAGGGCAAGCCAGTGGGTAGCGGTGAGGAGCACTTACATATGTATGTATGTATGTTTGGGCATAGGTGTATAAAAAAAAATAACAAAAACATACGCACACACTGATTAAAATTGAATATATGTAGACAAGTGTACGCGTAAATATGTATGGGCATGTGTGCCTTCCTACCCCAAAATACGCGTCGCACTCGGCGGAAAATCTGTACCCATTGTCGTTGGACAATGGCGGCAGCAGCAGCAGCAGCGTCGTCGTCGTCGTCGTTGTGGCGTTGTGGCGTTGGCGTGTGCGTCGGCGCTCGCTGGCTGCTTCATTTACATATCGAAAATTTATGTACATATGGTACCTACATACATACATATATATTGGAATATACATACCTGTATGCATCTTTCTGTTTCGCGTGCGCGCGCAGCAAACGACTGCGCTGCTGACGGACGATAAAAAATTGCCCAAGAGATCATTCGTGCTGCTGGAAAGTATAAGAACTGAAAAGGCAGCAACAACTAAATATGTATGCCAAGATCGGTGTGCATTTTGAATTGAATCTAAAACATTCAAAATGTATTTTATGAAAATGGAGATCGGCTTGTAAAAACTGAATTTTTTAACGAGCACTAACGAAAAGTGTATAATAAAATACTTTTTAATAAAAAACGGACTTAAACTATTTCCATAGTAGCCACTTTAAAAATCCTCCAATCGAATTTACTTTTCACCTTCGCCCGCTAGACGAACATGAAGCTATGCACCTATGTAGTTGCAAAGCTACACATCTGTTTTTATGGAAAATGTGTGTGAAATATTTTTAGTAGAAGTTTGCTCGTCTACATTTCCATGCTGCTCGTCTTTAGGTCAACACAACCGATTCGGTATTGTGCATGCAGTTGCTGCGACGTCCAACCACCGTTGGCTTCAGCGGGCAAAACAAAACCTTAACAGCCACATATACAACAGTTAGGAGCATTATTAGAATTTGCGCTATCTTTGAGTGCGCTCTCGCAATAAATTAATTGTGGAGCTTTCGCTCGACCCATGTACACACGCTCTCTCGCTCTCTCTCTCTCTCACCGTTTCCCTCTACCGTTATAAGGCTCCTCTTACCTTCCTCTTCAACACCTCCAGGAGAAATTCGAAAAAATCTACTCGCACAAAGTGTTTGCTGCTCCAATTTTTAAATACACAACCATTGGAAAACAACAAACACAAGAACAAGTATGAAAAAAGCAACAACAACAGCCTATAAAAAAGTAATAAAAAAATATTAGAATATTTGAAAAATTATTACAAGAATTAAAAAAAAATCTGCTTTACTCTATTGTTCTACTATTCAACGTCGGATTTTCAAAATATGTAACTCGAAAATATGTATATTGAAAAAATATATCCCTATTTTTTATCAAAAATATTTTTTAAAGAAACTATATATTATAGGTCCGCCAAAGACCCTAAAATATGCAAAGGGCGACCAAAAAAAAATCTTTAGTATTAAAAATAGTTAAATAAACAATTGGATACTATTAATGGAAGACTCCTGACGAGAACCAGAGTTTTCCGATCGAAAAAAATTGATTTTAAAGAATTCTATCACATTTCTAAGAAAGTTTTTTCCCATATAAAATATGTACATGGAAAAATTTGAGCGCTTTGAGCGACCTTTACATATATTTTAATTTAAAAAAGGGGTATTTTTTTCGATATTGAACAATCCTAGGGGGTGAGAGCATTAAAATTCCGACTTTTTTTGGACATATATAGTATGATTACAGTGACCAGATTTCTGTGGCCAAAAATCGGTACATTTCCTTACTATCTAAAAAACATGTAAGTCAAAATTTAAAACTTTAAAATTCGACGAATTTTAACAAATGTTGATCAAAATTTTAAGCATTTTAATCAGATTTTCTAGAATTGTCTTGAGCATGCTGTTTTGTGCCCATTAAAATTTAATACAGTAAATGCAAGTTTGAAGAGTGCCCTTGATTTTTGGGCAATTTTTTGTTTGCACATTTTCTTCCATCCAAAGTATTATATTTAAATTTTTTTTTGTACTATGTTTAATATTGTTTTTAAGAAATCTAATTAAAAAGCTAAACATATTGATGAATTTTTGCCGAATTTTGCTAATTTTTGTACAAAGTTTGAAATCTTGACTTCCATGGTCTTTGTTAGATAACGAGCTACACTTTCGTAAAAAACAATAAACGTAAATACTAAACATTAAATAATCGAGAGGAATAGCCAAAGAGAATGCTAAAATGTCTCTTCTCTATTTATATTTTCGCCACTGTATCTACACCTTATATTTTTTATATCAATGATTTTTCGAGGGAATTAGTATTATGTTTTATAATTTCGCTAAATTCAAGTTAGAATCGCTGTTATACGTCCCGACTTATAAATATAATAATCGGTGGTACATTTTCTCAAAATCGGTACTGTTCCATCAAAATCGGTGCGAATGGTCACCGTAAGTATGATGCATGTATGTACATACATATGTACATTGGTACTTGCACGCCACAGCAGCTGATGCTGTCACCGTCACCGTCGTCGTCATAGAATAACATAAAAATTCCAGCAGCATCAGAGCTGCCTTCGCCTTCAATTGCCACCGCCGCCGTCTTGTCCCGCATGGCGCCGCCAGTCTATATGCTCCGCCAAATATACACCCACATACAAATGTATGTAGCTATGATTTCACATCACATACATATGCTTCTCCATTCATGACCGTAAAAAAATCTGCCATTCAGCCTTTGAGCATTACCATACTTTGCTTCCAGGAAAGGTTTCTCCCCCCACCTGCTGCTTACTTCCTTCCAAGCACATTTTCTGTACTCACATCGAATTTTATAAAGGCATGTGATTGTTAGTTTTGCCCTTTTTGTTCGCTTTCGTGCATGTGCTTTTAAGATTTTCATTTTCTGGGAAGACATTTTTCCTACTACATCTATCGATGAAAGTTATCAATTTGAAAGTGTGGTGGGCGAAAAGATAGCATTTTGTGTGCGCGTGGTGTTTGTGGGGCTTTTATGGAAATATATTCAAATGCTAAGATAACGGTATACCCACAACTTGCATATGTATGTATGTGTATATTTACATATACATATGTCAGTAAATTAATCCACACATACTACACAAACATACTTCCATTCAAGCTTATGCTAAGAATTTTTATGGGCACACTATGTAAATCATTGAAGATTTTTCACGATGTAGTTTTCTGCATATTGGCAATACATTTTCATTTCTTGCATCGTAATTTTTAAATTAATTATTTTACTTAACTTACTTACGTATTTATAATATATGTTGTTGTATTATATGCACACTCACATACCACATTTTGCCAAAAATAGTTTTTTCCTTCCTACACTGCGTATGAGTAATTTTTTTGTGTACATGCATAAGAGTTGGCGATCCTTTCAACCCGGGCTTCGGAGAAAATGTTTTATTGCATCGCTTCGCTCCAATATTTGATTTCGCTCCGAGCTCCACTCTTGCTCCACTCCCGCCACCAATAACCAACTTTTATTTATTTATATATTTAGGAACTTTTCTGCAACCAAAAGAAAATTAAAACAAATTGCCAAGTTAATTGAATAGAATAGATTTTATTTTACGGTTGTTTTCAGTGGCAAAAAATTAGAATTTGAGTAAATTTATTAACTGAAATGTTTTTTTTTTTTTAATTTTTGTGGAAAAACGACAGTAAAAATATTTGAAAATAAATCGTTACTAGCAAGGCGAATTTATATAAGGTGGTGTTACTAGATCAGCTGATTTTGTGTATGTGTTTCGCCTTACGGCTTCTAATGTCAAATTGAAAAATTTTGTTTGAATTTCCACACACACACTTACAGATTTTGACAGTTTATGCCGCTAAAGCAAAAACAAAATACATGTAAATTTTTGTTTTTGCTCTCCTGCTATCACCTTACATTAATTCGCCTTGGTTACTAGGCCCGAAAATAATAAAAACAAAATATTGAAATTTTTTCTTTAAGAAGCTAGGGAGCAAATGAATTTATTTAGCTCTTTGCTCCAGCTCCACCTCAGCTATTACTACTTTGCTCCTTAGCTCGTTTCTCCGCTCCGAACACAATATAACCAGTAAACAACCTTCGGTGAATTTGGCGACTGCCTTCCTCGGGGATGAATATGCTAGGGATGAAATTATTGGTACA